CTGCATAGTTTCCCCAGTTCCTCAGTGTTTCTAGTCTACTATGTATACTTCTGGAGACCTCTGTGCCTATATAAGCAATGAAGTATGTGTATTTATGTCTTGGTGTAAGTTATGGTGCTGTTACATTGTGTTTTATGGATGAAGAACCTTGCTGATGACTCCGTATGGGATCATAAAAATCTGCTTTTTCTTTTTTTATGGTTGGTTTATATTTCTCATTTATTTGGTTCATTTTAGTCTTGTGGTGTTAAAAAATACTGCACAAAAGATGTTGCAAAGAGGTCACTAGATGTGTGGTTGTGAGTGGGTATAATGCCACATAAAATTGTTGAAAATGACCTAATTAAATTTTCCAAGTTTTTTCAATTTCTTTATTCACATAATAAATAAAATAGAACTGCAGTGTGGGTTATCTCTTGGTTCACTGTGGTCATTACTGTTGAAGCTTATTTAGAATCTCATTTAACGACAACAGTTTTTTTCCTTCACATGTTAATGTGCTAGCATTTTTCTCTTATGGTAGATAGGATTTTACAGGTTTCTTGAGAATCTGTAAACAAAATTTGAATGAGTCCAAAGAGTATTCCTGATGACTGTAGGTAATGCTACTTAAGGAATGAATTATTATAAGGAAGTTCATGGCATAGTTTGCTAAGGCTCTTAGAGGATAGGCCAAAATAAACATACAGTAAGCAGAAAAGTCATACATACCCTGGTTTCACATGTGAATATTGGCATGTGTAGCACGCTGTTTTTGAAGGTCGTGTTTATATTGTGATCTTCCTCTTGAATTGACCGTTTTAGCTCTCCATTTAGGATTGAGTTGTTTCTTCATCTAAAATTACAGTGCAGAAATTACAAATTGTACTTCATATACTGTCTCCACTATGTGTTTTCCATGGGGAACTGTCAGGGAGCTTGTCTAACAGAACAGTTGGCCTTCCCGTCCTGGAGAGAATTTTCCCAGTATCCACTGCCAATCCTTGGAACATTCCACCTGTTCACAGAAAAGGAAAAAGGGACTATCATAGTTTTCACCCTAGTTTCCTCTTTGACAGTTTCTTTAAAATTTATTTCAGATATTCAGAATCTAGTCTGTCACAAAAGCCTAGTGAAAAATCCTCACCTTGAATGTACCGGGATCCCAGATGGGCGCCGGTTCTAATCCTGGTGGCCCCATTTCCCATCCAGCCTGGGAAAGCAGTCGAGGATGGCCCAAAGTCTTGGGACCTGCACCTGTGTGGGAGACCCAGAAGAGCTCTTGGCTCCTGGCTTCAGATCGGTGCAGCACTGGCCATTGTGGTCACTTGGGGAATGAATCATTGGTTGGAAGATCTTTCTCTCTGTATATCTGACTTTGCAATAAAAATAATAAATTAATCTTAAAAAAGAAGAAGAAGAAAAACCCGACGTAGGGGCTCAGTACTGTGGCATAATAGGCTATGGTGCTGGCATCCTATATGGGTGCCAGTTTGAGTCCCAGTTGGTCCACTTCCAATCTAGCTCCCTGCTATGATTTGGGAAAGTGATAGAGGATGTTTCAAGTCCTTGGGTCCCTACATTTCGGAGACCCAAAAGAATCTTCTAGTTTAAGAGCTCTGCCTAGATTTCTCTTGTGGTTGGCAGGGGCCTAAGAACTTGGCCATCTTCCTCTACCTTTCCATACTTAGCTTAAGATAGAGTTGCTTTGGAGATCAACTAGGACTCAAACCAGTGCTCATATGGGATGCCAGACTGCAGGATGGAATTGGTCTCTCTAAATTCTGAATTAGATCATTGTTCCTTCAGGTGAATTAGCTTGGACTTCACCAATGGCTTTTGATGCCAGCATCTTGTGTGGTCACCAGTGCAAGGCCTGTTACTACTCCACTTTAAATCTAGCTGCTTGCTAACGTGCCTGGGAAAGCAGCAAGTACTTGATTGCCTGCATCTATGTGAGACACCCAGCACAAACTCCTGGCTTCAGCCTGGTCTAGAACTGGCTGTTGTTTGCCATTTCAGGGATGAACCAAACTTTGGACGATGGTTCCCTCAGTTTCTTCCTGTACCCTGTCTTCCAAATAGACAAAATGAACTTTAAAATTTGTTTTTACCATTTTTCTAATCAGTGAGCCATGATTGGTTTGGCATTATGGAACCCAAAACATTACATTTCTCCTTAAACCACTTTTTCCAACACTTCTTGGCATGATAGTGCATGTGTTAATTACATATTCATATTTACTGCATAAAAGAATTCCTGCTTAGCCTCTTAGTTTGTTAGCTGTTAAAATATGTACATGAAAATTTTAAAAGTTAAGATTTTAATTTTTGAGAAAAGTATAATGTATCCACATTAAAGCTAACTAAAAACTTTTTTCTTTTAAAATTTATTTCTTGGGCATGGCATGGTGGCTCATCTGGCTAAATTTTACCTTGCAAATGCCAGGATCCATTTTGGCGCTGGCTCAGGTGCCTGCTAACGCATCTGAGAAAGCAATGAAGGATGGCTCAAGTGCTTGAGCTCCTGACTAATGTAGGACACTCAGCAGGAGCTCTTGGCTTTTGGCTTCTGACTGATCCAATGCTGGTATTGGCAGCCGCGTGGGAGTGAACCAGTGGATGGAAGAGTTTTCTCTCTCTGTTATTCTGCCTTCAAAATAAACAAATTTTTGCAAAAATTTCAAAACAATGGTTTTGTTATAATACTTAGCAGGTTTTGCTCCTTTGTGGAAATAAACTGACTTTAGTGAACCTTTTAAGGCCAAATTCCTTGTAGGTGATTTAACTAACTTTTGAAAAACGAGGTTTGATTAGTCATTTATTTGGATAGCTAAATTACAGAGAGGGAGAACAAGAGTGAGGGAGGGAGAAAGGGAAAGTGAGAGAGATTAGGGAAGAGGGGAGAGGAGAGGAGAGGAGAGGATGTTGCATTCACTAGTTTACTTGCTAGCCACAAAGGCCGGGCCTAGGCCAGTCGGAAGCCAGGGGCAAGGAACTTCACTCAGGGCTCTCATATGGGTGCAGCGCTTGGGCCATCCTCTGCTGCTTTGTCAAGCACATCAGCAAGGAGCTGGATCTGAAGTGGAGTGTCCAGAATTCAAAGTTGTGCCTGTGGAATGCTGGCAGTGTAGGTGGTAGCTTTCCTGTTACGCCACAATGCTGGCTGCATATGTGGGTACCTCAGAATGTCTGTGGAAAAATAGACTTAAAAGAAGTTTATTTAGGTGGGAAAAATTTTCCATGCATAGCTTTTTTTTTTTTTCCCCATGATACGGGTTTTGAAGCCCTCTGATAAGCAAGGTTTTAAAAAATTCTTATTCTGAAATAAATTTACCTTTTTTGTTCTATTTCCATGAAGTTTTTGAAGAGCCTTGCCTTGTCAGCCTATATTGGAGGGAAAAATAAGTAAAGACTATTTTTAGCAACTTGCTTTATTGTTTGAGCATGTTGCATGTGTGACCGCATATTGCTAGGCCATGAAATTTACTTGAGGCAGCAGAGCGGTTTCTCTGGAGCACGTCAGGTAATTGTTGACCAAGAATTGTTATGTGTGCTGATGTAATAACATGAAATTTTTCTGCTTCACTGATACCCATGAATAAAAAAATATCAGAAAAGCAGAAACCTTTTTTTTTACCAGAAACTCTTGTGGTAACCAAATTAGAGGTTTGATAAGATAATGTGGAGATCCTGCATGCTCCCAGAGAAGCCTAAGTATAATGAACCTAATAGGGTTGCTAGAGAAAGATGTCTCATAACAGGGTGGTTGTTTTTTTGAATCTAGAATTGCAGAATGTTTAAATACTGAAACTTTTGGGCAGTGTATTAGCATTTTAATTTCAGTATTTTGTTTTAGCAATTGTTTTCTTTGAATTGTACTTCTCTGTGTTAATGCAGCAGGAGACACTAGCGCATATTTATGCAGTGGATTTGCTCTTTTACAGTGTGATGTATGTGGTTTTGATGTTGGTTTTGGGGATGTTGTTGCTTTGTTTAGAAAATCACATGACACTGTAGGATTTTCAAGATAGTTTATAAGCCTTGACCAATATCCAGAGCTTGAATAATCTACTAAAATTCTCCAGTGAAGTTTACAGCAGTTTTTCATTTTTCAAGCTGATGAAGATCATTTTGAAAGTGCTTGTAATAAGTCAACTACTATATAACTTCGATTTTTCTCAGCGTCTAGACAAGCCTTTTAGAAACAGTTTACCACTGTCACTCCGGGGCTATGATCGAAGGTAGATGCTCTCAGACGTTGAGGTCTGTGAATCTGTAGGTGTTCATTTTGCTGTCTGTTTGTGTAAAAGTTCTTCTGGTTTAAATTTTAACTAGTCAGCTATTTAAACAGGTAAAAAGAAAATAAAAACTTTTTTTAGAAAAAGGGAAAAATTTAATTAGACTTCAGAGCAGTGTTAGAGAAGGTAGGTTTATTATATCCTAGTATGAATTTGTATTTTCTGTAGATTCTGATATACAGTGACTGCTGAAAAAGATCTGAGCGTGATTACTATTTTTAATTTTATTTTTGATGATGTTCACATGGTCAGGATGGGAAGGGTCAAGGATGAGGAGATAGTGGGGGAGACCATTTTTTACATTATGGGCGAGAGGGAGGATGTAAGAAGAGATCTGTGCATTGTTTCAGGTGTTGGTTTTTATGGTGATTTCTTTGAAGATTCCTTGTGTAAAATTATCTCATAATGCCCATTGATTCCTTTAGAAATTGACTCGTACATTGAAGGAGTCATTGTATTCTTTTTTTCCCTTAAATAATTGGGAAATAGCCTTTAAAATGATTTGTGTTACTTGACACAATTCTTCCCACAGGTGAGCCTCTCAATAAATGCCAACAAAAGCAGCTTTTTAAAATAGGTTGTCCACCAACAGGACTGTGAAGTGAGCCAGATATGCATAAGTAACATCTAAGTTCTCAATCCCAGTCCTTCCTACATGTTGGATATTCTTAATTGTGTATGTCATTGTTGCCTGACGTGTGTTTCTTAAATTTTCAACAGGGGAAAATGCAGTGTTGCCCTTCTGAATGAGACAGAATCAGTGCTGTCATATCTTGAAAAAGAGGTAATTTATAACCATACTTTTTTCCCCTGTGTTTCACATGACACAAATGTTTGAACTAATTTTTTTTTTTTTTTTTTTTTGCTGAAGTTGTGTTATATTGCTATGGTAATATGTTAGTAAAAACATACTCTCAATTGTATTTGGGTGGATTTTTTTGGTTAAGTAAGATAATACCTCTTTGTTTTTCTTTTGGTGGTGGAAGAGTTTTATAAGGATAACACGTGATTTAGTTTATAGTAAGTAGATTTTTGGCTGTATGAAGTAATTGATTTACTGAACTCAAGCCTCTGGTGCTTTTGTGTCTTAAATAAATAAAATTTATTTTTGATTCTTCTGGATGCAATTTTTTTATTATTGGTGGTCTACTTTCTTTCCTGGAATCCAAATAAATTTGTGTCATTTATACATGTTTGTTTCATTAAATTCCAACAAGAAGCATATGTAGCAAGTTGAATCAGAGCATGCATTTTACAAGAACAAAGGAATTCTTATAAGCAGAACATTCTACCTTATGCATAATTTTTGGTGGCCTTTAGCACAATACCATTTACATGATGGGAGGAATATTTTATTACCAATTTAGTTTTCATATTATTTTAAAAAATATACGAGAAGTGGAGAAACAGAGAGAGGGAGGGACAAAGAGAACTTTCTCCTAATGTTTCACTCTCCAGATCTCTACATCAACCATTTCCTGACCAGACCAATGCAGGAGTCTAGAACACCATCCAGGTCTCATGTGTGAGTGACACAGGCCCAAGGACCTGGACCATCTTCTGCGGGCACATTGGCAAGGAGCTAGATCAGAAACAGAGTATCTGGGACTTGAATTGGTGCTTGGATATGGGATATCGATACCACAAGTGGCTGCTTAATTTGCTCTCGTGAATTATATAGATGTATTTAAGAGACAAACTTTTTTTTAGTATATATTTTTCTTTCTGTTGTTAGTAATTTGTACAGATCTTAAGAATTTTCTCTCTATCCACTTAATTTTACTCACTAATTGCTCTAGCAGTTGTTAATCTAGAGGCTCTGGCAATATACTCATCTATTTTATTTTATTTTATTTACAAATCTTTTAAATTTAATTCTGTTTTAATTTTACTATAAAGGTGAGGGGTTTGCTGATCAATGTGGGTCTCTGATTAGAATGGAGAGAGTGCCTGTGTGGGGGAATGTGGGTGAGATAAATGTTTCCCTTTTCCCTTCTGTGTCTGTGGTAGGGAGTGGTGGTGGTGGAGAAAATGCAAAGCTCCTTATTGTCAGACTTACATCAGTGCCAGGGGATGGAGATGGTCATTTGATGTCTCCAAGTGTGGGGAAGAATGTTCAGAGGATGTCACTTAGTGGTCCTGATCTGAGTTTCTAAGTTGTTAGCTTTATTGCACCAGAGGTAAGGAATTCTAAGGCCTGTTGGTATCTATGTCTGCCTCAGTGTGTCCACTGACGTAAGTGCTAGTTGTAAAACCTGGCCTGGAATGTTGTTCAGCCTGCCCTTCTTCCCATCCTTGGAGAGGGACTCAAAAGTCTTCTGTTGACTTAGATGAGCCTGCTATCTTGTCCTTTCGTTGGGCATCTGGGTATGCGCTCTGTTCTTAGGCAGGAGTCAGCAACTGAGGCAACCCCATCCTGTAACATTTGCTCCAGAATTGGTCCACATGTCTGTGCTTTTCCCTGAGGTTGAAGATGGAGTGCAATGATCTAGGTGGGGATTCCCTTAAGAAACTCCTCCTAGGCTGCGTGTTATGGTACAATTGGCTAATCCTCCCTTTGCAAGTTCTTGGATCCCATATTAGCTACTCTACTTTCCATCTACCTCCTTGCTTATGGCTTGGGAAAGCAGTGGAAGCTTGGGACCCTGTACCCACGTGGAAGACCTGAGAGAGGCTACTGGCTTTGGATGGGTTCAGGGAGGGAAGGAAGGAGGTAAAGAGGCAGTAAGAGAAGTCTTCCATCTGCTAGTGCCCTCTCCAAATGGCCTCAAGGTTGGAAGTGTGCCAAGGCAAAACAAGGAGCCAGGAGCTTCTTCTGGTTCACCTATGTGTGTAGAGACCCAAACACTTGGGCTATACTTAGCTGCTTTTCCAGGTTCATTAGCAGGAAACTGGATTGAAACTGGTGCAGCTGGGGTTCAGATGGGATTCTATATGTGATGATAGTGTTGCAAGTGGCATCTTAACCACAACACCAGCCACTAGGTCTTCTTCCCTCTCTCCCTCCTTCCTTTCCTCCCTCCCTCCCTCCTTCCTTCCTTCTTTCCTTTCAATTGTTTTATTTATTTGGATGGAAGGGATACTGAGAGAACCGGAAGGGTCAAGTGGGTTGGAGAGAGAGAGAGAGAAAGATAGAGAGAGAGAGGGAGACAGACAGACCTTCCATCTATTGATTGGCTAATCAAAGGACTGCAGTGGCTGGGACTGGGCCAGGCTGAAACTCAGTTACAAAGTCCATCTGGGTCTCCCATGTGGGTGGCAGAGTGACTCTTGACATTTTGTACGGAGGAGCAGATTCGGATAAATAAAACCACATGCACTGTATACTTTACTCACTTATGGGACCTTTTTTTGGTGTGCTGCCAGCCCTGAAAAATCTTCTGTTTTGTGGTCATAGTAAGATACTGAGATGATTCAAAGAACAGTTTACTTTTAACTCTTCTTAAAGTTGACTCAACTGAATGATCTTGAAATTGTTTCTTCTTTCTTTGCAACTTTTATTGTAAAACACTCATATTTTGTGTATTTTTCCATAGCACATACAAATCTAGACTTTAAGCAATTTATGTGTCTCTGAATCATTGTTTCATTTCATTCTGGTGTAGAGCATGGTAAAAATCGGTTTGTACCATACTATAAATTTTACTGATTAAAGTAGCTTGGGATATCTGCTTTTTTTTTTTAAACATTTATTTATCTTTATTGGAAAGACAGATCCTCAGAGAAGGAGAGACAGAAAGAGCCTCTGTCCATTGGCCTATTCCCTAAGTGGCTGCCATGGCCAGAGCCGAGCCGATCTGAAGGCAGGAGCCAGGAGCCTCCTCTGGGTTTCCCACATGGGTGCAGAGTCCCAAGGCCCTGAGCCTTCCTCAGCTGCCCTTCCAGGCCTCAAGCAGGGAGCCTGATGGGAAGCGTGGCAGCCAGAGCATGAACTGGCACCCATATGGGATCCCGGTGTGTGCAAGGCGAGGGCTTCAGTCACTAGGCTAGTGCACTAGTCCCAATATCTGTGCTTTTAAATGTGATGTTGAGCCCGTGACAGCGTCTTGAGTAATATTCTTTAATGATGTAGATTCTTTAATTGTTATGCATTGTTGTGATTTTCTTTTTAAAAAAAAAAAATCCAGGGGCTGGCATTGTAGCACATTGAACTAAGCTGTCATCTGCAAATCTGGCGTTCCATCTCAGAGTGCTAGTTCAAATCCCAGTTGCTTCACTTCTCATCCAGTTCCCTGTTGCTGTGCCTATGGAGGAATATAAGAATGGCTCATATTCCTGTGTCCTGCTGCCTGTGTGAAAGCCTGGATGGAGATCTGGGCGCATGGCTTTGGTCTAGTCTAGTTGTGAATAGACTAAATTTTGGTCATTTGAGGGAATGAATCAGCTATCTGCTGCCTAATAGGCACATTAGAAGGAATTTGTATTGGAATCAGAGTTGGAGACTTGAGCCCCGACATTTGGGTGAGGGATCCAGGAATCCCAAGTAGCTTTTTAACTTGTTGTGCTACAGTGGCTGCCCTCATGTAATTTTCTTTTAGCAATCTATTTATTTTTTATTCTGACATTGACCTGTCTTTAAAATATGGCACAGAATTTCTCCCTGGAAAATTTTTTTCTTCTCCTTTTCTCATTGTCATTATCTTTTCAAAATCAAAGAGAAGACAACATTACTGTTTGACAGATTGCATCTCTTTGTTTGCACCTTACTAGTCTGTTTTTTTGAGGTCCCCTACTAGGATGTAATATAGGTTGCTATGTACTTCATCTGTTGAATCATGTTAGGAACTAGAAGCAAGAACCTTACTTTACTGGTTCAGCTCATGTGCAGTGATTATGTAGAATTCAGCAAAAAATTTAATTTGAATGACAGAGTAACAGAAAAGGAGATGGAAGAGAGAGAGATCTTTCATTTACTGAATCACTCAACAAATGGCTATAATGACTTCGGCAGGGCCAGGCCAAAACCAGCATCCGGGAACTCCATCCAGGTCTCCCACATGATTGGTAGGGATCTAAGTACTTGGACTGACTTCTGCTGTTTTTGCACACACTGTAGCTGAATGCTGAATCAGTAGTAGAACAACCAGTTCTTGAACTGGTGCTTTAATATGGATTGGATGCAGGCTTCCCAAATGGTGGCTTAGCACATTGCACCACACATGTGTTGGTTTGGGCTGCTGCTACTGCTGGTACAAATGACTATGTTTATATACCTTCTCTATACCTATACTTTTGCTTCAATATTTGAAGAACTGAAGGATTATAATGAGTAAATATTCAATTAGATACCTACAAAGATAAATTAATTAGGAAAAGTACAACTTTTGTGTTGTTTATTTAGTGTGACATGCCTTTTAATTTTTTTTTTTTATTAAAATGTGATGAGCACTGGGTCCAGCTGCAGCGTTATAGCTTAATTGACTAATCTTCCACCCTGCAAGTACCAGAGCACATATGGGTGCTAGTTCGTGTCCCTTCTGCTCTACTTCCCATCCAGCTCCTTGCTTGTGGTTTGGGAAGGCAGTAGAGGCTGGCCAGGATCTTGGAACCCTGCACCTGTGTGGGAGACCTGGAGGAAAATCCTGGCTTTGGATCGGCTCAGCTTTAGCCATTGCAGCCACTTGGGGAGTGAGCCAACAGATAGAAGATCTTTGTCTCTGTCTCTAGTTTTTTTTTTTTTTTTTTTCTTTTTATAAATCTGCCTTTTAAATGAAAATGAAGAAAGAAAAGAAAGAAAGGTAGGTAGGTAGGTAGGTAGGTAGGTAGGTGTGATGAATATTTCAAAAGTAATAGTGCCTGACATTCTTGGCACCCCTGCTCTTTGGGGTAGACTTTGCAAGTTCAGTAGATTACTTGAAGTGTCTTACTTTTGGTTATCATTTAACTTTCTAGTTTTCAAAGTTCTATTTTAGAGAGGTTAGTGTTTTATTTTAGCTTATAACAGTCAAGCTTCATAATCTATTTTAAGCAATTTTTGGCATAATGTACTTTTGAATTGTTTTATACAATGACAGTAATGCCATCCTTTAGTTAATGATTCATGAAAGCATTCACTAAATGATGTTGTATATTCTCTTTGTGGTTTTGTTTTCATTGAATTTATTTAATTTTTTTATAAAAAATGGGAAAATTAAAGTTTACTTAAGTACTTTCTGTCATTCATTTCAGGATACCTTTTTCTACTCATTGGTCTATGACCCCTCAGTGAAAACACTGCTAGCTGATAAAGGTGAAATCAGAGTGGGACCCCGATACCAAGCAGACATTCCAGAAATGCTTGTAGAAGGTATGTTTTTCTTTAGGATTAAAGACCTATGCAAACAATGATATCTTGAAACCTAGATATTCTTGTTTTACATGGAAGAAGCAATTTTTAGGAAGACACATAAAAAATTCTTCTAGTTTTTGAAATCTACATCCCATTTTATGCACAGGGACTTTGGTTCTAAGATCCTCAAGAATACAAAAATCTGCACATGCACAGGTCTGTTTAATAAGATGGCACAGTTCTTTTTTTGTATCCTGTGTGTACACCTCAAGGTATCTCTAGGTGGATGTGACAGCGACCTAAATACTTTAGCCATCTGTCTTCCAGGTTGCATATTAGCATGATGCTGCCTTGAAAGTGGGGACACTTCCTTTGATGTAGGATGCTCGTGTCCTAGTGGAAATCTAACTGATGTGTTATACCCTTACTTACATGTTATATTATTATTATTAACTTAATAGAAGGACAGTTATGCAGAGATAAGGAAAGAGAAAGTAAAAGATTTTCCATTTTCTGGTTCATTCCCCAAATGGCCACAACATCTGGAGCTGGCCAGTTCAAAGCCAGGAACCTGACTCTCCTTGTGGATGCAGGGTCTCAGGCACTTAGGCCATCCTCTACTGTTTTCCCAGGTCATAATCAGGGAGCTAGATGGAAAATGAAGCCACTGGGAATCGAACCAGCACTCATGTGAGAATCCTGTGCTACAGGAGAAAGCTTAGCCTCCTATATCATGGTGCAGGCCCACAATCACTTTTTGTGTGCGTGCGTGGGGGGAGGGGAATTAGTTAATTTTAAAAATTATTTTAGTTTCTTTTTAATATTACTTACCTGATTGAGAGGGATACACTTCCCTTGTGGGCCTTTTTTTTTCTTTAAGTTGTGTCTGCAGCAGGAGGGGGAAGTGGCGCTTCCTCCTATCAAACTACATCAGAACCCAGGGATAGAGGATGGTCTTTTGACAATGCCTTTGAGAACCCAGTTTTGGGAAATGTGATCTGAGGGTGTCTTTTGAGTGTTTTTTGATATTTTTGATAAGTTGTTGGTTTAATTTGTACAAGGTTGAGAAAATCTTTCCAAAGTCTGTTGGCTAACCAAGTCCACTTTAGTGCATCAATACACCCAGACACTTGCTGCGAAGCTTGGCTAGGAGAATTATCCACCCTCTTCTGCTTTCTATCCACTGACGAGGCAGTTGATATCCCCTACAGGTCTAGATGATCTGACCATCATGTCCCCCTTGTACATCTGGGCATGCTGTTCATTGTACAGGTGTCAACAACTGAGGAAGCCCAGTCCTGGTACATGTACTCCAAGGTTGGACCACACAAGGTCCTGTGATTTTTCCTGTGGTCAGGGTTTGAGTCCAATGGTCTAGTTAGGGTGTTGCACAAGAAACCCTGCCTGGGGTTTCCTCAGACTTGAGTCCTGTTGTGCCAGCTAGTATAGGGTCAGATATTTTCACCTGCAGCAGTCAACACATATACTGGTGGATGCAATGTTCTTGTCATTTTGCCCAAGTCCCATATCTCATGCAAATGGATGGATGTTGTGAGTGCTGTGACCTAGTCTAATCATCCCACCATAGACCTAGTCCTTGTGCATACCAGCAGGTGCCGTGGCCTAGTTAGGGTGACCCCCAATAACTCCCACCACGCCTGTCCCCAGGCCAGGTTTTTGCACCTGCCAGCCTCTGCAACAGCATAGCTCAACCTAACCTTTGTTCCATTGGATGCTCATGTACACCTGTGGGTGTTGTAGCTTAGCTCAGCCAAGCCCTACCCCAGACCCAGCCCTCAATATGCTAACTGGTGCTGCTGCCTTGTCCAACCTGGTCTGCCCCTAGCTCTGGTTTCTGTGCTTACCAGCATTAGATGTAACCTGCTAGGCAAGTGCCCATCGTTCCTGCTAGTTATGTTCCCAGCCCCAGATCTTGTGCCAGTAAGGGGATGCTATGGTGTAGCCTGACATAACTTGTACCCAGTCCAGGTATTTGCCATGTGGTGCTGTAGCTTAGCCCTGCTGTCCTGCACTTATTCTGGGTCTCATGTGTTCCAACAGGTATGGTAATCTAGCCTAGCCTGGTCTGCCCCCAGACTGACCCATCCCTAGTCCCAGTTGTCAAGTTCACCAGCGGAAGCAGCAGCCCAGCAAGGAATTAACTGAAGTTCCACTACCAGGTCCACTCTTAGCCCTGGCTCTTGCGAGTGCTAGCAGGGGCTATGGCCCAATCTGGAATGGCTTGCCCCTAGTCTTGGCATTTGCCAGTAGGTACTACAGTCTTGGTTCAGCGCTGTGTGCTCCCAAGTCCCAAGTCTTGCCAGTGAGTTCAGCAGCCTAGTCCAACCTGACCCACTTCCAGCCCTTACATGAACTGGCAAGTGTTATAGTTGAATCTGACCTGGCCTGCACCCTCTTCTGGCTCTTGGTGTACCAGTATGTGTTGTGAACTGACAGTGCCCAGCCTGCCCCCACACCCAGCTCATGTGTATGCCAGTGTGTGCTATAGCCCAGGCCTGGTTTAGCTTGCTCCTAACCCTTTATCTCATGCTTACCAGTGGGAGCTGTGGCCTACGATGTAAGGTCCCCATGTTCCCCTACTAGTCCTGTTTGCAGTAACAAATCTCACGTGTGCTTGCTGGCACTGCTACTGACATGACTTGCCCCTAATCCTGGCATGAACGGGCCCATGTCATGGCCTATTCTGACTGGCCCACACCCTCCCAGCTCTCACCAGTCGGTGTTACAGCTAGCCCAGTGTGGCACAACCCCAGGTCCTGCTCTAATTTGAACCACCAGTAGGTGCCACAGCCTAGCCTGGTCTTTCCTACACCCATCCTGGCTCTCATGCCCTCCAGCAGATGCTGGAACCTAGCATACTCTGCCTGCTGGCAGACGCAGCTCACATGCATACCTATGGGTGCTGCAGCCTTGCTCAGCCTGGTCTGCCCATAGCCTTGGCTCTCGTGTTTATTAGTGAAAGCTGCAGCCCAGCAGAGTAGTACCCAAAGTTCCCCTAACAGGCCTGTTCCTAGCCTCTTGCTGCCTGTCCTGGCCCACCTGTAATCTTAGCTCTTCCTGGCAGGTATTACATCCTAGCCCAGCTGGGTATGGCCTGTCTTGGCTCGCTTGCGTGCCAACAGGTGCTAAGGCTTGGCCCCGCCTGTCCTGTCCTTAGACCTGGTCCACACAAGTGCTGATAAGTGCTGTAGCCTTGCCTGGCCTAGCATGGCCTATCCGCAGCACTAGCTGTTGTGCTCTCCAGTAGGAGTTGCAGCTTAGCAGGGAGTTTCCCAAGTTCCCCTATCACCTATGTTCCCAGCCCCAGATCTCATGCATGTGAGTGGTGGTAGCAGCCATCTTGGAATGGTCTTCCCTTGTCTCTGCCGTTACATGTGCCATTGGGTGCTACAGTCTGGCCAACATGGCCTCCTCTTAGATCTGCTCCTGGAGTGTAAGTGGGTTCCTATTAAGTGAGTTCTGTGCTATATTCTGGCTACACCTATCACCACCCCCAACTCTGTGTGTTTTCTTTCTTTCTTTTTTCTTTTTTCCCTTAAAGATTTTTTTTCTTTTTTATTGGAAAAGCAGGGGAGAAGGGGAGACAGAAACAGAGATCTTCCATCCATTGCTTCACTCCCTAAATGGCTTCCATGGCTGGTGCTGAGACAATCTGAAGTCAGGTTCCAGGAGCTCCCTTTGAGTCTCCCACATGTGTGCAGAGTTCTGAGGATTTGGGCTGTCGATTGCTTTCTCAGGCCACAAACACATTGTTGGATGGGAAGCAGAGCAGCCAGAACATGAACCAGTACCCATCTAGAATTCTGGTGCTTGCAGGGGGGAAGGGTTAGTAAATTGAGCCGTTGTGCCAGGCACTCTCAGTGCTTTCTTATTGTGTATGTTTAATGTTTAAGTGAACTGCATCTTTGACTTGATTATCACAAGGGAGAAAATTGTCCTTTTTACTTTTGCTACAATTGCAGAAGAGCATACTTTTTGATTATATCAAAAAGTCTTAACCAGAACCACTTCCCCCATTCTTTAAAGCTACGTTTGGATAATGTGAGAGTGGGAGTCTTTTTTTTTAATGCATTTTTAGTCATGTAGGGTTTACACATTTTTGTTAAGTTTATTTTAAGTCTATAGCTTGTTAGCTGTATTTGTAAGTGTTCATCTTTAGCAAGAAAAATTTCGTATCTATAGGTTTTATGAAAAAATGCTATTTTTTATTATAACCAAAAAATTATTTTGGGATCTGTATAAGCTTAAAGGATTTAGCACATACAAAATATTTTTATTTCTTCACCTATGCACCAGTAGTTAAGTCACATTTGTAATACATGGATATTGTCATCACAGGAAGTTCATCTGGTTACAGGGAAAGTTAGAGACCAGTTTGAAGGACGTATCTTTGGGAGTTGCTGCAGTCCAAAAGCCAAATTTCCCTTTGTATGGCTGCGGGTGTGGGGCTGAAAGGTAATACCCATGTTCATGTTTGTATGGGCATGGCTTATAGAGCTGGAGTTAATATCCTGGTTAAGTGGCAGCGGTAACACTGAGTTAGGATGTGCTACAGTTTGCTTTTTTTTGTGAACCTGCCATTTTATGTCTTTTTTTTCTTAAAAGATTTGTTTATTTTTATTGGAAAGGCAAATCTGCAAAGAAAGATCTTCCCTCCACTGATTCACTCCTCAAGTGGCCACAATGACCAGAGTTGAGCTGATCCAAAGCCAGGAGCTAGGAGCCTCCTCTTGGTCTCCTGTGTGGGTGTAGGGTCCCAAGGCTTTGGGTTGTCCTTGACTGCCCTCACAGGCCACAAGCCAGGAGCTGGATGTGAAATGGGCAGCCGGGAATGAACCGATGCTCATATGGGATCCTGGTGCATGCCAGGTGAGAATTTAGTCATTAGACTACTGCGCCAGGCCCCGTCATTTTGTTTTTATATTTATTTTTATGATGCTGTTTTAGTAGCTTGTTACTTCTTTGATTCATAACTTAATTTGATGACCAGAAATTTGAGAACAGGCTTGAGTAAGGAACAATAACTGACGTTTGTGTGTTTCTGAATGAAAGATAACATAAAAGTATAATGGCAATCTAATGGCAGATGCAGAGAACATGAATTGTGTTTAGAGCAGTATTTCTGGTTGTACAGGAAAGGTCCTGTAGCATGACAGTTTTATATACAGCCTTAGTTCTTCAGAGGATTTAAATAACGTTAAGCGCTCTTAGGACGATACTGAAGAACTAGTTTGTTGGTGTTTTCTAGAAATCTTACAATACAACTGTAGAGTTAGGGCTCACGTTTAAAATAGTTACTGGGGGGCTGGTATTGTGGTGCAGACGGAGGCTACCGTTTGGAACTTGCATATCCTGAACTGGACTGCCAGTTTGAGTCCCCCCTGCTGTGCTTCCAGTCCTTCTTGCATCCCGGGCAACAGCATATTATGGCTCAGGAGTTTGGGGCCTTATCTCCCACTTGGGACACCCAGATGGTGTTCTAGGCTCCTCGATTCACCTGGCCCAACTCTGACTGTTGTGAACATTTGGGAGTAAACTAGCAGATAGAAGATTCCCTCCCTCTGTTTGTGTCTTTCTGTCACTCTGCCTTTCAAGTGCGTGAGTCTAAATATTGCTGGGCCTACATTTTGTCAACATTATGTGAAGCAAAGAAGCTTTACACAAGCTTGTTGTTATTTTTATTTATAGGATCTCAGTGTTGATGGAGGTTTTCATGGGCTCTTGTTTCAGTGATATGGAAACTGAGCAGATTGGAATTGCCCAGATAGTCCTAAAGGAGAATTACTTGATCCATCACTGCTGTCCCCCAGGGTCTACCTTAGTAGAAAACTGGCGCTAGGAGCTGGAGCTGGAGCTGAGAATCAAATCCACTCATTCTGAAATTCCTGTGAGATGTTGGCATCTTCATGGCAAGGCTAAATGCCCTCTCCCTTAAATAGGGATATGTCTCATTCTCCATCTTGAAATTTCATGCAGTGTGAAGCTGTTTCAGTTTTCATTTGCTGTTTACAGATGAGCCTAATGCTGAATATCTTGGCTTAGCTTGCTAAGAAAAGTTAACAAGATTGTGGGCTGTTTTATGTAGTAGGTAAAGCTGCCGCCTAAAATGCTGGCATCCCATTTGGGTGCATGTACATGTCCTGGCTGCAGCTCTTCCAATCCACTTCCCTGCTAATCACCTGGGAAAAGCAGTTGAGGTGGGTAAAATGTTAGGGCTCATGCCACCCTGGTCGGAGACCAGGAAAAGCTCCTGGTTTTAATCTGGGCCAGGGCTGACCATTGTAGTCACCTGGGGAATTCATAGCAGATTGCATCTCTTTTATTTCTGTCCCTGTCTCTTTCTCTCTCTGTAACTGTTAACTTTAAAATAAATCAGTTAATTTTTAAAAAAGAAACAATGAAAAATAAAATCTTTTCCAACTCTTTAGATCTCTTTGTCCTAGCACTTACTCTGTGTGTGTAACTTTCTGTTGGAGCTGACAATTGGCCCTCTGGTTACTTCCAAACTGAAGTGATTAGAGGTATGCTGATTCCGTGCCTCCTTTTGGTGTGTTGTTAGTGGGAGACATGTTGCCTGCTGGTAAGATGCAGTGATTGAAAGCAAAACCCAACCCAAACCAATCCTTCTCATCCAAGAACTCCTAACCTGGTAAGAATCTGCAGCTAAACGTCCAGCTTCTAACAAACTTGTAGTTAGTTCCTAAGTTTATTTCCATTTACATCCTTTAAACTGATATTGAGCACTGTGTGACAGTTAAATCTTCCTGTGAGATATCCTAAAACAAAGCTTCCTGTATTATTGTCAGTGGGACTGTCAGCTTGCATCTCTGTTAATACTCCTCTGTGCCACTCAGAAAACTTAAAATTGACCCTGTCACATCTGGTCTACCACTGGCATGCCTAAATCCTTTGTTTCCACTGTCAGCACTGTCTTTCAACTTCTTATTACTTCCAGCTGGGACTATTAGAGGAGTTTGACTATCTGTCTTTATCAGGTTTCTTTACAGAGTAGATTATATACCTTTGCTAAATATGACATTTGATATCTTAGTTCTGGTCTTATCATTCCCTTAGCCCAAATACCAGGATCCTATTACCTCCAAATAAAATGTATTCAGGAAATCTGCACAGAATCTTGTGTAATATGTTCTTAATCCACTACTCATAGCTATCTTCTATCATTCTCATTTAAAAATGAGCTTTTGTTTTTCTTCATCAGATGGTAACATCTCATGACTATGTTCATGTCCTCATTTCTTTAAGTTTTCTGCCACTGCCTGTATATTTATGCCCTTCAGTCCTTAAGAGAAATATTCCTTCTTTCATGCCATCATTTCCCAGCCAGCATAGAATGATTCCTCTGGTGTTCAGATTCTTATAGCCTTGTCTGTGTTGCAGTTGACACATCTTTTTCTTTGGTTTGTACCATAGATAGCCATCCACAAGTTTATTATAGTTTCAGCGTCAGCAGCAGGGGTACTTTCTTTATCATCTTTATATCCCCAAGTTTGGTTCTGAAATTCATGGTAATGGTGGTCCCGTATGCTGGGTTTAGCTGTGGTGTCGTAAGTGTTCACTAGACAAGGCGTTGTACATCTGCTGTCCAAAAGAATCGACTGAAATCGTGAGCTGGGTGTGACGGTGGACTTTGTAACAAGACTCCTTTTTTTCTATTCTTGGGCAGGAGAATCAGATGAGAGGGAACAGTCAAAGCTGGAAGTTAAAGTTTGGGATCCAAATAGCCCACTTACAGATCGACAGATTGACCAGTTTTTAGTTGTAGCACGGTGAGTATGGCACTGAGTCATGGAACATCTTCTCTTTTAGCGGACTTATAAATGTGTATATATTTTTTTGTATTCCATTTCTGTTTCCATTAAAAATTATCATTATTATTGTTTTAGTTATGTGAGAAAGCTTTATAGATATCAAGCTCCTTCCTAAAAAATATGATATACTGTCACTAATTTCTGTTTTAAATGAAAGTAGGTTTGCTAATTTTTGCTGTTAAAGAGGATATAGATGAAAATCTGACACCTGAAAATGCGCATCTTTAATGAAAACAGAAAAATATTTAGCTGTAGCCATAGATTATGTGGATATCAGTAAGAATTTGCAACTCGAATCCTTTTACTGTGTGGATGGGTAAGACTCATTGCAAGCAGAGAGCTTTCTTTCATGAATTTCAGCCTGGTTGCAGGGCTTCCTTACTCCCTTTCCTTTTCTCTTGAGAAAATTTTATTTTCATTTTTTAAAATTAATTGATGTTCATGAGTAAGATTGTCACAAAATAGATTGTAAATGAGGCTATTATAGCATTGCATTTAGTAGAGAAGTTGAATAAACAAAGTACATTTGAAAGCCATTGATGAATGAAAGTGTGTTCATATAATGGGATATTACTTTACTGCAGTTAAAACGAATGATTTAGACCTATCTATAGTAGAGATAACTCTTAAGTAAGCATGTGTACCATATGATTATTTATATGCATGTATTTATAATCATAAAAAATTTAGAGTATGCAAAAGAATATTATAGTTTTCTCTTTAGAGACAACATATATACTCAGTCATTCATTTATAATGACGTGGGAATGTGTAATGGGGCTCTAACATTATATAATATGTACTTCCTTGAAACAAAACCCCAGGGGCTGGTGCTGTGCAGCTGTTAATCTGGTGGGTACAGGGGCCAGCGGCATGGCATAGCAGGCTAATCTGCTTTCTGTAGCATCAGCATCCCATATAAGCAGCAGTTCCGGCTGCTCGACTTCCTACCTAGCTCCCTACTTATAACCTGGAAAGGCGTGAGGACGGCCCAATTGCTTGGGGCCCTGCCATTCATGTGGAAAACTTGGTTGAAGCGCCTAGCTTCCAGCTTCTGACCAGCCCAGCTTTGGACTTTGTAGTCATTTAGGGAGTAAACCAGCAGACAGAAGATCTCTCTGTGTCTTTTTCTCTATATCTCTGCTTTTTAAATAAAAATAAGCAAAACAAAGAAAGTAATGGATTCATTTTAATGAATTAATAGTTGTATTCAGTTGTTAGGTTTTCATTATTTTTTAAAGATTTTATTTTTATTGGAAACGCAGATTTATAGAGAAGGAGACAGAAAGATCTTCCATTTCCTGGTTTACTCCCCAAGTAGCTGCAATGGCCAGACTGGAGCCGACCTGAAGCCAGGAGCTATGAGTTTCTTCCAGGTCTCCTATGCAGGTGCAGGATCCCAAGGCTTTAGACTGTCTTCCACTGCGATGAACCAGCTCAGTTGGGAGCAATCAGTCTGATGGGAACAGGACCCTGGGAACGGTGGGCAAGGATTCGGTGAGTGACAGACATGCCAACTCAAGGCAGTTGTATCTGAGTGTATTTTACAAAAGCAAAGCATCAACTTATATACAATAGATTATTGTAAAGGAACATTTTCTTTGTCTATTCATGTGGTTACATTTCTACAAACAATTATTCCAGGGAGGTAAGTGGGGCTGTTGAGAAAAGATTGTTCTCTAATAACCTTTTTTTTTTTTTTAAAGATTTATTTTTATTATTTTTTCATTGGAAAGGCGGATATACAGAGAGGAGAGACAGAGAGGAAGATCTTCCGTCCGATGATTCACTCCCCAAGTGAGCGCAACGGCCGATACTATGCCGATCCGAAGCCAGGAGCCTCTTCCGGGTCTCCCACACGGGTGCAGGGTCCCAAAGCTTTGGGCCGTCCTCGACTGCTTTCCCAGGCCACAGGCAGGGAGCTGGAAGGGAAGCGGGGCTGCCGGGATTAGAACCGGCGCCCATATGGGATCCCGGGCGTGCAAGGCGAGGACCTTTAACCACTTGCGCCACCGCGCCGGGCCCTCTAATAACCTTTTAATCAGTAAGCGGTTAGCTGTCATTGTGCCTTGTGCCTTACATTGGTTTTAATAGTAACCTGTCTATTTTTCTTAGTTTTTCTTCCTGTATGGGTTTTTAAGCTATAGATCTCAAATACAATCTTCTTTTAGGAATCCCCAAAAATAGTTCCAGATGGGTTTATTAAAGCTAGTGACCTGACAGTTTTTATCCCATACAGCTTGCAAACCTTGTCCAACTTCCCATCAGAAGGCTTCATAGAACTAAAAAGGAACATTGAGCCTTTGCCGCACATAAATAGCATTATTCCAGCAATAAAGATAAGAGCAAAGAGTACAGCCAGGAACACCAAGACCACTAGAGATGCAGCCAACTCAGGAGGCATCCTTCCTTGAAGCTTCTGCCTTGGCCTGGTGATGTTCTCATGCAGGTGCCACTGGAGGTAGCGTGACACTCCACTGTGTTCCCTGGCCTCATGCATGACAGCTGGGTGGGAAGTGGAATAGCTATGATTCGAACTGGTGCCCAAATGGGATATTGACGCATGCAAAGCAAGGATTTAGCCACTAGGGTATCATAACTGGCCCAAAAGAAGAAGTAAAAAAGAAAGAAAAAAGAAAAAAAAAAAAACTGCCAGTCGCGATGACTGCATTGTGTATGTTAGGGTTTTGGTTTGTTACCCAAAGACTCCGTTTCAACTCCAATTTCCTGCTAATGTTCCTGGGATGGAGCAGGTATTGTTCAGGTGTTTGAATCTCTGCCTCCTGTGAGAAAAGCCAGGAGGAGTTCCTAGCTTCTGGCTTCATGTGGTCCAACCTGGCTGTTACAGCCACTTGGGGAGTGAACCAGTAGGTGGATGATCTCTCTGCTTTCCTTTCAAAGGAAAAAAAAGGCAAATAAATAAACTGTTTTTTTTTTTTTTTTTTAACTTTAAAATGGACCAAGCATGACAAGAAGATTAAGATCAGGTAAATCTGGGCAGTCGATGTAATGGTTCACTATTTCATGTTCTGATTTTCTGTTGATCTTTATTCATAATATAACGGGGAAATAACAATCATTATGCTCCATCCAAATGCATAGAACCAGTTGCGTTGAAAGTCACCACTGTATTGGTGTGAGGGATTTGGAGCCCAGAACTCAGAAACCAAGCACTAAGTGATGTGATGGAGATGCTTGAGTGAAGGTACATTGCTGGGAAGGGAACAGTGGAGCCGAGGGAGAATGGGAGTCCTGGATGGCTCCCTCTGCTCAGGAGTTCCAGAAGGGTCATCAGGGTTCTGGTGATTTAGAAGCCATTTAAATTTTCAAGTGTGATTTGGATTCTGGTTTTTTTTGTTTTGTTTTGTTTTGTTTTTTCCTGATTGTCATGGGATGTACATTTCCTTTCCTTGGAAGCCAGCATGAGGGACAGTTGTATATAATATCGTCAACCTCCTCCACCCAGAATTTGTTTCAAAAAATTATGCTTTTTTTTTTTTAAGATTAGAAAAACGGAGTTATACACACACTCACACACACACATGCAGAGCAAGAGCAGAAGATCTTGAACCTACTGGTTCATTTCCTGAATGATCAAAATGGCCAGGGTTGGGCCAATATGAAGCCCAAACTCAAATAGGATGCCAGTGTTACAAGTGATGGCTTAGATTCTGCCAACATGATGGCAGTCACTAATTTGTATACCTAAATACAAATTAAGTTCCCAATCGTATACTATTGTCCAGAATGTTTAAAAATTTAGGAAGGCCATGCATTTGTAAAGATGTGTTACAATTCATACCTGGCTGATGGGAGTATGAGTTGGTATAGATGGGAGTATGAGGTGATATAGATTTAGAGGCTGAATCCTTGCCTTGCATGTACCAGGATCCCACATGGCTGCTGGTGTGTCACAGTTGCTCCACTTCCCATCCAGCTCCCTGCTTTGGCATAGGAGAGCAGTGGAAGATGGCCTAAAGCCTTGGGATACTGCATCTGTGTGGGAAACCCGGGTGAGGCTCCTAGATCCTGGCTTTGAGTCAGCTCAGCTCTGGTCGTTGTGGCCACTTGGAGAATGACCCAGCAGATGGAAGGTCTTTTTCTCTTTTTCTGTAGATCTACCTTTTTCTCTTTTCTGTAGATCTACCTTCTAATAAAATGAATAAATCTTAAAAAAAAAAATAAGTTGGTACTAGGCCCAGCGCAGTAGCCTAGCAGCTGAAGTCCTTACCTTGAATGTGCCGGGATTCTATATGGGCGCCGGTTCTAATCCTGGCAGCCCCACTTCCCATCCAGCTCCCTGATTGTGGCCTGGGAAAGCAGTAGAGGATGCCCAAATTCTTGCAACCCTGCACTTGCATGGGAGTCCTGGAAGAGGCTCTGGGCTTCTGGCTTTGGATCGGTGCAACACTGGTTGCTGTAGCCGCTTGGGGAGTGAATCATCAGATGGAAGATCTTCCCTCTGCCTTTCCTCCTTTCTGTATAAAAGAAGAAAAAAAGGAAATGAAAGGAAAGGAAAGGAGAAAGAGAGAGAAGAGAGAGAAAAAAGAAGGAAGGAGGGAAGGAGGGAGGTAGGGAGGGAGAAAGAAAGAAGTGATACAAGGGCCCAGCACAATAGTGTAGTGGTTAAAGTCCTTGCCTTGCACATGTCGGATCCCATGGTCGCCAATTCATATCCCAGCAGCCCCGCTTTCCATCCAGCTCCCTGCCTGTGGCCTGGGAAAGCAGTTGAGGGCGGCCCAAAGCCTTGAGACCCTGTACCCACATGGGAGACCCAGAGGAGATCCTGGCTCCTGGCTTCGGACTGGCTCAGCTCTGGCTGTTGTGGCCACTTGGGGAGTGAATCATTGGAGGGAAGATCTTCCTCTTTGTCTCTCCTCCTCTCTGTATATCTGCCTTTCCAATAAAAATAAATAAATCTTAAAGAAGTGATACAAATGCCTTGAAAGTTGTTTGCT